TAGTCAAATAGGGGGTCAACAGAGGAGCCATCACCATCGGTCTCCTGAACGGAATACCACCAGGCTCCGTGGAGATACTTCTAGTTATGTTGGTGATAAGATTGAAGACGCCACTCATTTCGATCTAGAGATGCAGGATCTGAAAGCTAGGGTCGACGATGTCGCAAGTTTTGCGCCTGTATAAGCCTGGAGCCTAGATTGGTCGCAAGTATGAGCTGATAGGGCAAGTTCGAGAGAAACTTTTAGCATTTGTGCTCAGCATTGTGTAATGTAATTCTTCACCTGCATGTGACGCCTAAGAGATTCACGACGTAATTCCTAACATCTCCTCCTCTTCTTATTTGCTCTAATTTCCAGCAGCTTTCAAGCCTTTGAACCCCACAACCAGGTATGTTGACCCTTTTACCATTAAAAGTTCTATTTTACAAGCCAAAGTCCCTTCCTTTCTCAATCATAAAACCCTAGCAACCAAAAGAACACACTTGGCCCTTGGGTACCGTTGACAGGACCACACACTGCCCCAAACAGCCTTATTATATTTTTGGCTTTGATTTTTTTTACTTAGCAAAACTCAAAAACTTCATCCTTCATCAAAACCTCTACGAACCTTAAATTTCATTTTTCCAGCAGTCAATAGTCAAATTATCCAACCACCACCAGCTTCAAAAATCCTTTCTTAACCTGTTATACATTAATTTTGGGAAAAGAGCATGTTGTGTTATCTGCAGTTGTCTCACACTGGATGACATGTTAACATTCGAGTTTTCTATATATAAAATTCATTTTTTTATTTTTCATTATTCATACTTCTTGCATTCTTTTAGTCCATAGATTTTTTGTAAGTCATTACATTGTGGTCCCCGTTAATGAAGGATTTTTTTTGTAAGTGGCTACCAGATATTTTTTTTTTCCCACAAAATCGAACAACGAAGAGCAATAAATGATTTACGGAGAATTTCCTTACAAAAGCATGGACAAACATCGGCTAACTGAAAAAATAAAAAGGGGGACATCACCCAGTTTTGGTCCTGCTACAGCCAGGTTCTGGAGAGGGAGGACTCGAGACAAACCTAACTTTTGGAATTTTACAAAGTGGCTTCTAAGAGGCTAAAAGTCACACCAACAACACTGATGTTCAAGCATTAAATATTTGAACCAGGCAATAGCCGCAAAACATCAGCTAATTGAAGCAACCAAAAAATTCATGTCCTTTGCTATAATGCAACTTGTGCATTTAAACTTTAAAGCCGTGAAACTTTGATATCAAGACAACATCCACTTTAAGTAACATACTGTTTTTAAATGACAAGCCAAACACGCCTCAAATGCATGATTAAATCATGGAGTTTGATATGCATCGAGGATCGTATAGAACTGAGGAATATATGTACTGTCCACAGCCCACTTAAATTGAGCAAACAACTTATTACTAGGTGGGCAAAAAAAAAAAAAAAAAAGTGTTTTAAGGACCCTATATCTTTTGGGACAACCAAAGGAAACTGGTACAATCTTCCCTCTCCTTACTATAAATATATATATATATATATATCAAAGATGCAAAACATTTGGATATCTTAGAATTTGATTTAAAAACCTTAAACATGAGTAGAAGAGTTAAAAGAACCAAAAAAAAAAAAAATAGTGAAGAAGCGGCCCCAATAGGTTATTAAAATGGGCACAAAGATGTACGAAGAAACCAATGACTGCTATTAACGAAAAAATGAAAAGGTGAAATAAAGACCTAAAAGTATTCAAATCGAATTTAGGAGATGAGATTACAGCATTTTCTTTTGTAACTTTGGGTACCAAAACACTTCAAGAATAAGAATTCTGGAAGCTTACTTTTATGCTGATTGAATATCCCCGGACAACCAAAATCAATGCTGAAGCAATGGAAAAAAGTTGCCTACTTACTGGAGCTAGTAAAAAATGAGCTATTATTTGAGTTCTAATGTCCATGTTAAGATCAGCAGAAAAAATTAACATTTGGTATGGCTAGACATTGTTTTGCAATACATCGTTTATCAACAGATCAGAAAGCATTAACATTTGGTATGGCTAGACATTAGTTTTGCAATACATTCTTTATCAACATTTTTTTTGTGCTCACATTGATTTTTAATTATACACTTCATCTTAAATATCAAATATATTATTTTAAAACTATAATGTAAATAAAATATCATAGCATGACTTGTCTTCATGCTGAGACTTTTAGAGGTCATTGTCTTAAAGGTCAATTGAGATTAATTCCATGTGTCAGACTTCTTAGGGACTCAATTACCAAAGTAGCAATTTCATTGCTGATCCCAATTGTTAGAGAAAGGCATTGTCAATACACCTAGTCAAATTCATAGCCTCAAGTCCAATTTTTCAGTTAAAAGTAATTAATCAACAAGCTAATGATCAACAATAGAGAATGACTTCATTATTTTAACTCGAGAAGACTATTGTATGTCTCAAATTCCTTTTCCTTTTGGATTTTTATTTTAAAAAAGATTTTGTTGTGATACAGTAGGCTTTGTATTCCTTGTCTAAAGAGGAACAGGGACCAGGGTTAGGAACTCTATAATTAGAGATCTAGGCTATGGGTTGAGAAATACGTCACAAAGTTGGGAGTGTTTGCGAGGGTTGGAATGTTTGAATAACTATGTTCTCTTGTAAAAACCTATTGATTTTCTCTTAGTGGATTTTGATCTCCTCTCTTTCTCGTGGACTTAGGCATCTTGTAGATCCACGCAAATCTGTATTCTTTTACTCGTTTCTGTTATTTCCTTTCAATTATTCACTGTGATTGCAAGATCCTTTGATGAAGGACCTCCTTCTTCTATAAGCAATTCTCAGGCTAGAGAAATGGTATCATTCTTTAATGCACCCCAAGCGTTATGACTGAACACAATACTTACAATCAACAAAGACCTCTCGGGATTATGCTAATGATTTCTGTCTCGACTCTCATCAGTAGAGACCATTCTCTCCATTGTCCTTATTATGCAAATAGGATCTTCCATTTAAGTGAAATTCCATTAGTATGGGGAAATAATTTTTTACAATGAAACTCGAGATTATTAACTCATTCAATATTCCCCAAGTAGATCATCTCCATGTTAATCACAAAAACATTTTTAATGAATCGAGGCTTAGGTTCGATCAATTGAGCCTAGTCCAATAATCTTCTGATGAAAGTGAATCACAAAAACATTTTTTAATGAATCAAAACATTAATGCAATGAGCCCTAACATGATTAGGATATGAACGCATAAAATAAAAACCCTAAATGGTCAATTTGTAATTCAAGAGGTGAATTTACCTATCTTCAATTTCTCTCTCTTCCAAGCCCGTGGATTCAAGGTAAATTTTAACTCTAACTAACTAAACCAACTTTTGAAATAAAACAAAAATTACAGATTCCAGCTTCTATTACGAATTTGCCAACAGTAAGTTCTAATATCCTCGTATTATGTACTTGCAACCTATTTTCTAAAGCTCTAGGCAGTAGGCAGGTTAAAATCAATGGATTTTAATCAACATTGGATCGAAATACATAGTGTCCTTTTGGAAGCTTAAGAGGCAACTTGTACTGGCTATAAAGGGTCAGAATGTTGGGAATGAGCAGTCACTAATTTATGAAGGTTGTTGAAGGATTTAAATATTAACGTTACACCCTCTCCAATAGCTTAAGCTTTTAGAGTAGATGGTGGTTAACATGGTATGAGAGCAAGCGAAGTCATGTGTTCAAACCTCACCGTCACCCTGATAATTAAAATTGAAACACTCGTTTGACCAAAAGAATGTCATACGTGAGGAGGTGTATTGAAGGATTTGAATATTAAAGTTACACCCTCTCTAATAGGTTAAGCTTTTAGAGTAGATGGTGGTTAACAAAGGTCTAAGTGCCATAAGAGACAAAAATCATTGAATGTTGAAAGAAAGGGGAAAATAGAATATTAATGCATCAGCCAACAAAGCTGGATGACACTCAAGACATCAAACAAAGTACAAAAATGCATCATATAGAGGAATTAAATCTAGTAGGACTTTCAGCAAAGAATCATGTATCACATTGACTGTGGGGTAAAAATCCTTTCTTAAGTTTACTTGAAATCATTGTTCAGGAGAGCAGAAAACATTATGCATATACTTACTAAGGATAATAAAGCAATCTTTAAGGCCTCAACGATCAATCAATTTGTGAATCATGGTCAAGAGAGGATATATTTAAAATTAGGACCTCGAGAAGGTATTTGAAGTGTGAACAGCAAAGAAATTTATTGATTGAAATGTGGGAACTTAGCATAGATAAGGAGTGTCTGAATTTGCTTTGAACTCAATTTGATGAAAGTGAAAGAGGGCAGCTGATTGGAGCTAAATCACCAAGCTCAAGGAATCCAACTGGATCAAATAAAATTGGGAACATCACACTATTAGAAGGTGAACACATTCAACAGATGCAACCTAGTGATCATCTATGTGCAATTTATCCACAATACAAAATTGTAATACATATCAAATCTACAAATACATATCTTTCTACAATATGATCCAGGCTTTTTTAAGTTTTTGTAGTCCTCCGTTGAATCCTTTCCTATTTTCAACCCTTATTTCCTACCAAAGCAATATTATTGAGAAAAACAGGTAATATTGGTGAGATGTGAAGTATGAACACAAAGAAAGAGAGGAAGGAAAATAAAGTGAAAAAAAAAAAATACTACAATGATCTGATTTTATTTTTTAAATGTTCTCCTCTCACTTCCTTATCAACAAAGAACACAGACATAAATTTGGATCCGGTCCTTTTTCCCTTACAATTTCCATTTATTTAGACCAATGAAAAGTTCACATAATCATGCTGGATATGGTATGGATTAGAAGACTGTTGTCAGCTTTAAGTTAATTCGGGTTCCTAAGATCACTGAAAATGAAATAATAAAATGACATGCATCACACTAGAACAGTAGAACAAGCTTAAGTCTTAAAGAAAAGCTATTTGTTTCCATACCATCCAGAATTTTCTGTTGAAAAGCAGCATCCAGACCAGATTCAATCTCCACCCAGGTGATTTTCTCAATGCATGGTTCAAAAACTGCCATGAACTCAAGGATAGAAGCTGCTTTTCTTTGTAAATTAGGGGATGAGATCTTCAGGACCTCGACAAGTCGTGCAACGACGGCAGAATCCAACAGATCTCTCGTATGGGTGGTTTGCAAGCTGCACAGTAGGTTAAACCAGTGTTTACTATGCAGTCAAGTTGTGGAACTATTCAAAGTACATACCATTAGAAAGCCACAGATAAAAGCTGAAACTTTCTCATGCACAAATAAAAAAATTTAAACCACAATTGAGAATAAATCCTTAGAAAGTTGGCATACATGCAAGTTTTTTATCATTTAGCAATAACTGAAACATTGCCATGACAACTGTGGGCAACAATTGAAGTAAGATCTTCCTGCACATGGCACAAGTTTTATATTTACACATGAGAGAGAGATTAAGAAGGCATGACACTCGCAGAGCAGAATCATTTCAAGCTATTCCACATTAGCTAAAGCTATTTTATTTACAAGTCACATTAACTAAAGCTATTATTTAACTGGAAAACAGATCAAGCATCGCTGTATCTGCCTATTGTTTGAAATTGGAGCATTAGATATAAAGCCAGTCCAGAAAAGAAACATAACTTTTTTTTTTGATAAGTCAGAAAAAAAAATAATAATTAAAAAAAATTAAAAAAAAAAATAACTTATACAAATCGTTAGGGATATTAGAAAATGCTAAAATCCTGCAATCAGCAATCTGGGGACATGATTCAAGATCTGGTATTATATTCAAGATTGCTAAATCTAGTAATTCAAAAGTAGTTCTTAACTTCATTTATTTTCCATTTTTGACAATGTTAAAGTATAAATAATAATGAATTGGATCCAAATAGAACAATGGAGTTGCATGTTTATTTCATTCATCACCTTGTTCTAGTAATACTATATGGAAAAAGCCAAGCAAAAAATCACTGCCAGTAGCCAAATGTGAAAATACTGCCAAAGATTAGGCTTGCATCTAGTTTGGTCTTTTACACAAAATTAAATTCTACATCCATAACTAGCCCGTTACATTCTTATAAAGTAATCTAAACAAAACACCACATGAAACAACATTAGGCAGTTAGTGGTGTACGAAGTGCACATTCCTGTTCCACCTATCAGAACCATCCATGTTTAGGGTAGTAACTATCATCAATCTGGTTGTAACGGGAGACAGGAGAGAGAAACATAGTGTCATACAACAGATTGGGTTAGAGAATTTTTCCAAAGATCCGCGACAAAACCTATATTTTTCTCCAACTTTTTTTCGATCACACAAAGCAATAGAGATTTCGGGTCTCAATGTGCCTGGATCATTTGTCAAACCATGTCAACAACAATTTAATGTAATTGTGTGCAAAAGTTTGCACCTATACCACAAGGACCTGGATATACATTTTCCATACAAACATGTAGCAAGGTCTAAGATTTGTGTAACATCCTTTAATGACCTATACCTGTATCAATGTTACCATATAAATCATGTAATAGTCATAAAAATAAGAAATTAAATTCTATGTGATAAAGGAAATATGTCAGTCATAGATTACAGTGTTGGCAAGGTAATAGCAGATAAAGGTGGATGATTTTAAACATGAGTATAAGAAGTTAGTGTTAGCATATATGATAGCCACGATTTATGGAATGACTTGCCAATATTAGCAGAGATTTAATTATGCTATAGAATATGTTTTAGAATATGTTGTGATGTGATTTGAATTAGATTTGATTTAGTTTCATTTCTTGTAATATGAGCATGTGCTCTTTTTATCTATAAATACTAGTGCTGTGAATGAGTGATTCATCTCATTCAAACCTTTACACAATTATCTCATTTTTCTTCTTTTTATATTTCTACTTGGTATCAGAGTCAAGGTGATCCGACTGCAATGAGGGCATTGCGAGTTTGGCACCACCCATTCGGGAATGGTCTAAGGTGACATCGCCTATCCGAGAGGTATCAGGTAGGCAAGGTGGTCCGACCTCAATAAGGGTGTTGCGAGTTTGGCACTACCTATTCAAAAATGGTCTGAGGAGACATAGTTGTTTCTTTTTTATGGTCTGAGGAGACATTGTTGATTCTTTCTTTTACATTGTTTAAACATATGTATGAAGGGGAATGGTCTGAGAAGACATTGTTGATTCTTCCATCTACATCTTTTAAACATGTGAAGGGGAATGGTCTGAGGAGACGTTGTTGATTCTTCCATCTACATGTTTTAAACATGTGAAGGAAAATGATCTGAAGAGATATTGTTGGTTGTTTACGGTCTGAGGAGACATAATTGGTTGTTAATGGTTTGAGGAGACATTGTTAATTGTTTATGGTCTGAGGAGACATATTTGATTTGTTGATCGTCACTTCATTCGAGAGAAGATCATCTCTAGTCAAATTTGCACTCCATTTGTCACAAGCTCTCAGCAGCTTGCAGACATTCTTACAAAGGGCATCAGCAAGATTGTGTTTGAGAATGCATTGTCCAAGTTGGGCTTTTTAGATATCCACGCACCAACTTGAGGGGGAGTGTTAGCATATATGATAGCCACGTATGAAATGACTTACCATATTAGCAGAGATTTAATTATGTTATAGAATTTAATTATGTTACAGAATATGTCATAGAATATGCTTTAGAATATGTTGTGATGTGATTTGAATTAGATTTGATTTAGTTTCCTTTCTTGTAATATGAGCATGTGTTCTTTTTTATCTATAAATACTAGAGCTGTGAATGAGTGATTCATCTCATTCAAGCCTATACACAATTCTCTCATTTTTCTTCTTTTTATATTTCTACTGTTAGGAATGATCATGTGAGAGGATTTATTCACTTTGAATCATGGTTGTTAAAATCGCGATTCTGACTCGTAGAATCGTGCGATTTTGCGATCCAACATGCCCAAATCGATCCGAATCGCAGAAAAATCGTGGCTTGTGCAGAATCGTGAGTTGAATCGCCGGAATCGTACGTAGAATCGTGGAATCGTCCGATTCTATACGACCCCAACCATTCTGAATTATCCATGATTGTGGTCTTGTTTTGGGTTTAAGAATTGTAAAGAAACCCTAAATTGATTACCACAGTGCAACAATTCCTCCTCTTTCGCGGCCTCCAGCACAGCTCCGAGAAGAGATGAGATACAGAGGGCAAAAAGAATGCTAGGGTTTGGGTGAAGAAGAAGCAGAGGAGGAGGAAAGAGGGAACAAGAGGCTAAGAGAGCTTACCTAAAAAAGACGAGAGGAGCTACCGCTGCCGCCGGGGAATTGCAACAGGGGAATTTTGCTCTCTTTGTCTGCCGCTGGGGAATGTCGCCTCTCTTCAGAATTCAGATGGCAAGTTGACCTAGGTTAGACTTGCCTAAAAAAGATTGGTCTTGGGCCTTTTACTTTTATTGTGCTCTATTTGTTCTATTGTACAGCTGGGCCAAATGGGCTTTGCAAACTTTAAAGTTTTTGAAGCCCAATGTAATATTCACATTTATAAAAAATTTGTCTTCATTCCAAAAATTAAATAAATAAATTAAATTTTAAAAGAATCCATTGTAAATTTTAAAAGAATCTGTTGATAATTTTATATCAACTTATATATATATATATGTATATATATTTGAGTTTTTTGCTCATTTTTTATTTATTTTGAAGATAATTTTTGTTGAGAAAGTTAGTTTGAGTTGTATTTTTATTAATTTGGTAGAATCTTACGATTTACGATCCGATTCTACGATTCCGATTCTACAGAATTCAAAACGATTCTAGGTAGAATCCCGATTTTAACAACCTTGCTTTGAATTAGGTGGTGGATAAGAATAGGATAGGTATATGATAAAAATGCAGTGAAAACTGTAGTATTATCATAATACTGTTCACTATGTATATGACTTTATGTGTTGAAGATGATGCACATGAAAGGAATTAATTAAGAAAAAAAAAGGAAACTAATGGTGTTTGCAACCTCAGGCCTAAGGGTTAACTGTTATTTATTTGAAGTTAAGTTTCAGATTTTTTAAAAATAATGATAATAAAAGAAGAACAAGAAGACAAAGAAGAAAGGAAGAACACTTTGTAAAGGGCACGCACGTCGCCAAACTTGGGTTTCTAATACATCAAACTCTTTCGATTTTATTTAAATTATGTTAAAAGCTTTACTTTACATATAATATTTATTATATATAGAGAGACGTATGTACATTAGGACATATATTGATAAGGAAGGATTATTCAGAGCCTAACGTTAAACCAAAGTGACAAAGATACGGCAACCTGATGAAACAAGAACTAATCTGGCTTAAGGAAAGAACCATATATTATGTATAATTAGGACATTATTTTTTTAAGATGTATAATATATGGACCCTAGCTTATACATATATGATTGGATGTATATTTGCATGGAAAAGGAAATATGGAACATTAGTTTCTACCTTCTCTAAAACTCTAGCTGTACAATTATATCTACTGTGATGTTGTGGTCTGAGAAAACAGTAATGGGCGTTTAAGGTTTGGAATGGGGTAACGAGAGAACATTGAAAACAGTACGAACGAGTGAAAGAGAGAGCTATGGTTTGGGGGTTGAAACTTGTAATCTCCTGCTTTTCGCATAGTGAAATCTTTCGTCGGATCTTAACTGTGGACATAGGTTTTGTCAAACCACATAAATCTGTGTTCTTTGTGTTTGGTGTGTTTACTTTTCTGTCGTGATCTTTGATTTGTTCATGGTTCATAACATTTGTCATAACATCTACACATTAGAATCTTGTGGCCATGAAATTAATTTTAAAAAAAAAAAAAGGTGAAAGAAAGATTGAGAAAGAGTTGCAAGCAGGAAAAAAGGGGGCCACCCCCAAAGGTAAAGAGACGCCATTAAGAGAAAATAGAAAAAGAGGATAGAAGAAGAAAGAGAAGAAGAGGAAAAAAGAAATAAGTAAAGAGGAAATAAGTAGTCCGTCTTCTTTTGCACAAGGACAAGGTAATATTTTGTTCTCCAAATTCAACGCATGTCTTATTTTATATTTTAAATATATGCATATATGTTATTTAGAAAGAGTAGTTACCCAGTGTCGTCCCATTAATCGAGGATGCTGGAAGGGCAATTTAGATACAAACCCAACCTTTTGTATTATTCGCACAAAGTGGCTACTCTCATGATTTAGACCCGTAATCTCACGCTTAATAGCCCAAGCATTTAATTCCGCACCAGGCAATGGCCCTTGTATAAATTCTATGTATGTTTTTTGTTTTTTTTAAGGTTATATGATATGCATGTTGGTTTGAATTCAGAAGCATGTTACATCATTGTTCACAAATAGCATATGTTAGTTAGATTTTTATTTCGTGATCCATAAATTGTTCACCTCAGAATATGTGATTGAAAGAATTATTTTGAAGAGATTTTGCTTAAACCATGGATTTCAATCCAAAATAGTTGTGGAATTTTAATGGATTTAAAAAAATCCAACCTTATTATATGTGGGTGGGAACCGTGAGACGGATTCCATAATGGCTCAAATCCAAAACACGTGCAGTGATTAGGAAGAACATCTCCAACGAAATGGATGCCTTTGGGTCTTCAAGTGAGATGCTCGAGATTTGTTGATTGTTTAATAAATTTATGCATGGTCTTGCAAACTAAAGCTTGTTAACCACCCATCTACTCTAAAAGCTTAAGCTATTAGAAAGGGTGTAACTTAAATATATAAATCCTTCAACACGCCCCCTCACGTGTGGCCTTCTTTTGGTCCAACGTGTTTATCAGTTTTTTAATTAGGGTGACGGTGAGGTTTAAACTCGAGACCTTTGGCTCTGATACCATGTTAACTACCCATCTACTCTAAAAGCTTAAGCTAATAGAGAGAGTGTAACTTAAATATATAAATCATTCAACAAAGCTTACATCTGAAAATATGCCAGAAAATAATTGTTTTTTGGAAGTTATATTGCTATATATTCCTTAGGCTTTAATCAAAATCTCTAGTTTCATAAAAACTTGTGTGTTTTTGGTTGATTGATTTTCTACTGGGCTTTATAAGCTCACCCCCTAACGTTTTCGAGATTTTCAGGACAGCAACTTGAGATGAACGAGGTGGTGAAATGGACTTGGAGAAAGAAACCTCATTAATTCCAGAGTAGTAGTTGTTATGTAGTTTTTTAGAAGGATAAATCATGGAATGCCATGATATTCTTATGCTTTGAAGTAAATTTAGTATAGATATTTATTTCTGGTGATTATTTAAGTAATTTGCGTACTGGTTGGATTTGTTGGTTATAAAGGTGTGGAATAGCTGTTAAGACATGCCCAGTTTATGACATTTGCGTACTAATACATGAATCTGATTTTGTTTAAGGAATTTTATGATAATTTCTTGGAAACTTAATGCAAATGGGAAAATTGTCTTCATGAATTTAGAACCATGGAAACTCGTGAGTTGAAGCAAGATTAAAAAATTTAGAAATTTTGACAAATAATTTCTCAACATGATATAGGATGGTGTAAAAAGAGTCTTGGTTAAAAAAGAGAGTTGAAAATGATTAATCTTGAATTTGGGAGATAGTTTGCAGCAGATTTGGGAAGCAAGGGTGGCTGCATCCAGGTATGGAACCCTATACAAGGGGCGGGTCTCAATCGCTGTATTTAAAAATAGACAGATTTGGTAGTGCTAACTTTTTATTCTGGCAGAGATGCAGCATAGAACCTAGTGTTAAAAGATTTTTCAAGGTGTAAAACAGCATAAAAAAAAAATTTCTAACAATATATGGTCAATAAAGCTTAGGGAGTATAATTTCCAGAACTATAAGCCTTGTCACAAATTTTTTAATAATTAATTTCCAAAAACTGAAAGAATATCAATAGGTCAGTTTTTCCACCACCCGCACAGATAACTGATAGCACTCAATTATTCCAAAATAAGTACAAAATGGATTGTTTGAGTTAGCTTCTTTTTTTTTTTTTTTTTTTTTTATGTATATTATATGTGCCCTGAATCTACATATTCACTTTCATGAATATTGGAAGCATAGTTAAGATACAAAATTTAGAATCGGAGAGGTTCAATCTAGAATAGTTTTATAGTCTGACGAAAATTGAGTTAATTTAAGCTAGACCTTGGTAATTGTGACTAAATGAAGTGGAAATTATAGTTAACCACCTCTAAATGAAGTGGAATTTGGAGGTTTGGGGAGTAATGACACATCCACAATAATATAATTGGACAAAAAGGAAGGCTAGTCCACCCATGATTGTCGATACCTGGTTTTGAGACTTTATAGTGCTCTTTTTTCTTTTTCTTTTTCTTTTATGGTTCGTTAATTTTTGATTGATCGTATGTTCTCTAGTTGCACCCATATTTTAATAGAATTTTTATTTATTTATAAAAATAATGAAAAGGCTAATAAAGTATTGTAGGGAAAATTGTTTCTTCCCTTTTATTAGATATGCCTGATAAGGTGCATGTTCAATAATAGAAATGTCTGACACATTTCCAATAGAATTGATCTAGTACAACTATATTATCAATTTTGAATTATTCCAGGTAACTAAAACTAAATCGTTGGTTGTTTTGTTCTCCTTTAGTGTTTGCATGATGGTGCACAGTGAAGACCATTAAAGTAACCTCTTCATCTCTTCCTTTTGGTAAAAAGCTTAACAAGGGATAGTTAACAACAAAAGAGACTCATGATACTCATCTACAGAAAGATGATTGCTGGAAACCACTTTCATTTGCATATAGCCAATTCGTTTCCTTTCTTACTTTCTAAGAAGGGTAACCACAGGTAAATTCGTAAACAAATAATCACACCAACTCGTTATTGTGAAGATGAAAGAGAGGAATGATGATGAAAATGAGACTTTGATATAGAAACAAACATGAAAAAACCTGGAAGCTGATTCTGATGCAGGAATATCGGCATTTCCGGTTGATCCTGTATTTCTTATTTCATATGATCTCCTCTTTGATCCATTCACTGGTCCCTCGTAAAACTGAAAGATGCCAACATGAAGGGAAAGTAAAAAAAAAAAAAATACACAAAATAAAATGTTAAATTTTCATTAAATGCAATCATCAGTAGCTAACTGACCTTTAATTTCATTTCTTTAGTAGGATCCAGAATCCGAGCAAGAATATTCAATGTCTGGGTTGCACAGAAGTATGTTTTTATTTCAGCAACACCAAATAGAAGGGATTTCCAGAAAATTTGGGTGGAAAACAAACAACTGGACTACCTTTTCCATCAAGCATTCCGAGATCTTAGGGTGTTTCAGTGAATTAAGCAAAGGATACAAAACACCTTCTGCTTCAATTATCTGGCAAACATCATTGCTGCTTTCACAAAGATAAGATAATAATATAGATTATTAGAAAACTCAGACATGTTGAAAAATAACATATTGTCTTTAAATTTTCCTCATTCACATCCAAAAGTAGTTTGCATAGGTACTTTGATTCATATTAGTATTAAGGACTAGAAGCAAGTACACAATGAATAACCTGACAGACAGCCTCTCCAAAGCATGGAATACAGCCAATTTAACAGCATCACTGGGATGGTCTGATAGCCGAACAAGATGCTTGACAGCTCCAGCTTCCTTAAAAGAGATTCGCATTTGTTCACTAATAGAAGCATCAGCAATTGACTCTGCAGCTCTGGCAATAGCTGACTCATCTTCAAGTCCAAGAATCAAAACTAAGCGAGCAACACCATCCATCCATGGCAAAAGTGTATATCGCCAACTCGAAGAGGACTCACTTTCAGATTTCTTACCATCTTCCAATTCTATAGCCCCAATACGGGCGAGAAATTGTTGTTGTGTTCGTCCTACTACCGCATTCAACTTTGATTCCTCTAGGTTGGCATTCTTATCCTGTAAGTTTAATCCAAGTAAGAGTTCAGAGGCACCATACCTAGAAGGACCTTTTGAACCCTGTTCAATTTCCGTACCATCAGGCAAAGAAGGCCATGAGTACAAAGCTGGTCTGAAGGACTGGTATGCAGCTGCACCGACTATGGGGACTAGAACTAGACCTTCCTCCATGACAAGAATTCTATAGTACTCATCTTTAGCAAGTTCCAACAATGTATTTTTCGCTTCTTTTCTAATGATTTTAGATCCTTCCACATCAGTCTTTAAGAGATTTGCCTGTATTTAGAGTATAAGGTAATTAGAAGTCAAGTCTGAGGAATGGCACCAATATGACAGTTCGTGAAGAATTAAAATGGTAATTAGCCATTGATAAGCACCACTAGATACAGACAGCAATCAGGCAACAAATGCAGAAAAGAAGTTGTACAGGAAAAATGTAAAATGCAGCCTTCTACACTAAAGAGACATATTAATAGCAGCAATGTCACCATCATCATCCTTGCCTTAATCCTATATAAATGGGATTGGCCACATGAATTCTCTCATTCCATTATTTTCTATTGCCCGTCATCTCCCATCATCCCCCATTATATTTAACTTCTTAGAATCATTTCTAATACTTTAATCCCATGTTAATTATCTATTAAACGTCATCTCCCCTGTTAATTGCAGCTATGTACCATAATTAAACCGAATATTCAAGATAAAAATAACGGAACACTGGTGTAACAATGGTGTAACACTGTTCTATTATTATTGAACAAGTTCATCCAGAAACTGATGACAACAAACCATTTTGAACCCCTATACGCAACCGCAGTAAGGCTGAGAGAAAATGATACCAGTCCATAGATTAAAACTTGTGAACAGCCAATGCAATTGCTTCAATCATTGCCTGTTCTACTATACAAAATAAGTTTATTGAACATTACAGCATGTAGATGTCTACTTTTCTTTCTTAAGTCCTGGTCGTTGCAATAGCGTATTTGGAAATTTTTACAGATTACTAATATCTGATTTACTTTAGTAATTCAATTATATCTTCACTTTCCAATACCAACTTGTGGTGACGATTGTCAAATATGAATCAACTTCCATTGGACAACAGAACATCAAATACTTCTTAATGCAATTACTGTTTTAGTTGCTCAAAAGGAAAGTCCAAAGTAGTTCACCATCATTAGGGAAGCAAAATTACATAGGGAACCAAATTGTAGTAGATTTCTTTTTCAGCCAGGTATGCAGCCAACTTGGTGAATGAAGCATATGCTAATAGCAAGATTTGCTATGATCAACTTAGAAATATTCTAAACTTTCGATGAAAAATAACTTAGAATCATTCTAAAATATAATGAAAATTACACAAGTTTTGATAAATAAATAAAAGGAAATATAAAATCAATAAAACTACCTTTCCTTACAAAATTAACACATCTACAGGCAATTTCACAGTGCCGGTCCCACCTACGGGAGATGTTGTTCTGTGTGTGGGGGGGGGGGGGGGGGGGGTTGGGTTGGTATAAAACTAGAAGCATACTTAACATTTGGAATTACTTTTCATAAAGTGATTGTCCTACAACTCGAGCCCATGTCTTCACATAACATTTCCCAGCAGCAGAGCTTTACCATTGTACCAATCAACGATTTGTGTAACACGCCTTAGGTTTTTAAATTGAGAGGACATATGACATCCATTAGACCTTTAGAATTTTTCACTACATTTCTCCCATCCTTTAACAGCAGTCTGATATTTTCTAATGCTAGTTTGTTCCAAGCCAAATGATTGAGTCCTTCTAAACCGAGTGTGAGAACATATTAGTCGGAGTAGGAGGTATTTTATCTTCATGTCCTGTAAAGTTAGGAGTTAGGAGTAAGGTTGTTGATCCAAAAATGACCGCAGCATGCAAACCTCTCCACAATGCTGGTTTGGTTAAAACCAATGATCTGCAGACACAAACTGAGGTGTTCTGTCCCAACACAATCATGAGGTGCAACACATAATAACGAAAATCTACACTTCAAAAGCGTGCACTTGCAAACGTGATATTATATATGTTTGCTACTTCTTGGATGTCTTATTGAATAACCATAGAGTGGTCATCAATGACCAAGTTAAAGTAAATAGACAACTCTAAAAACAATTTAAAACATACTCGCACGCCTCAAACAACTCTAAAAATAATTTAAAACGTACTCTCACGCCTCAATCTTTAGTAAATTATAGTAAAATGAAAAGGAAAAAAAAAAAATAGAAAATCTATAGTAGGCTCCATAAAATACAGAGCATAATCACAAATTAGTTGGTAAATTGCCTATGAAAAGTAGTTCTTGCAACAAATTTACAACTAATTCATTGACCTCTAGAAAAATATGCAGGACATGTTTTCTGAAATAAAAATAAAAATAATAAATATTCGACAAACCTGTTTACCATACAAGATCACAATTATTTACCTATTAACTCTTAAGAAAACATAGAAAATTTTGAGATTGATTAATTAAACAACAACGTCATCGAAACATTAAGATGCTGTAACTGGCTGTCGTGAGTAAAATCGACGATCTTCAATCTTCCTTCTTCTTGTATGCATAAAGCTATAAAGGGAACTCATTGAGATCATGGCAGAAGGTACCTCTCAAGCATCTACAACAAAGCACACTTATGTGAACATACGACCAGATATTTATTAACCGTATGTGAGCAATGAAACACACTTCAGGTAACAGTGTATTTCTTTCTTTCTCCTATTTCTAATCTTTATTTTATGTTTTATCCCAATTTCTTTTTACTAGGCACTGACTGGCAAAACTCAGTGCAAAATTCAGTTAGATCCAATTCTGAGAGTCGATCCCTTCAATAAACAAAGTAAATGTAAAGCAAGCCTCACCAGCTTTGGAATAACACCTGCTTCGACCATGATCCTGTGATTATATTGGCTCAATGCTAAAGTAGCCAAAACCCCGCCAGCTGCCTCCTTCACTTTTACATCCTCATCATCCAAGAATTTGACAAGCAGAGGCAGGAGATCAGAGTCTGCAATGTTCACCCGGAGCTTCTCATCTACAGACAAGTTCCACAGGGTACAAATACTTTGTTCCTTTACCTGTTGAAAGTAGTCAAGATCTACCTTAATTTTCCATATACAAGAAATTTGTGCAGATAAATACCAGTGATATGATAGCCCTTTCATACATCAGAAGTCAAGGAAGACCGGTTCAGCAAGCCAGTTATCTCCTCTATTGCCCCACTGTCTGCTACTAATTCTCTGTATACATTAACTGAGGATATCGTTCTCAAAAGACCTGCAGCTGCTTCACATGCAGAACTAGACTCTGATTTTAGAAGGTTTATGATGAGATTTATGGAGCCACGAAATTGCATGATGGCGTCAATACACTGCTTTCCTCCTAGTGAATATTTCCATAGTGCAACTATTGCCTGTTCTCTATCAAGGGGATCATTGTCTAACCCAAGCATCCGAACAAACAAGGCCACATAACCATCACCAGCACTGGATGAGCTGTTCTTTAATGCCTCAATGTTCTGAAACAAAAGTGAGAAGATGCTTAGTCATGTATAGATCAAACAGAGCTTGATGAAATATTTGTGAAAGTGAAGGCCAAGTAGATATTAATAAATAAAAAGATAATTCTTGCCAATGGGTGTGGAATTTCTTGCCAATGAAAAAAATATATACAAAGATAATTTTTATACATTGTAGATGATACAATATATCTCAAAAGACTGGTTAACAAAATAAATATGTACTAAATCTTTAAACCAGGAAGAGTAATCAATGAATGACTGCCGGTTTGGGTAAACAAGGGTACTCACAATCCAGTCAACATGCAGTTTGGGTAAATAGGTTTATTAGGAATGACCAATGAATGACTACCAGTTTGGGCAAACAAAGGTACTCACAATCCAATCAACATGCAGTTTTCCCTCGTTTGTCAAGCTGACAGAATTTATAACTAAATCACACTCTATCTGCAATCTGGATAAACATAATATACAAAAACTTCAATAACTCAAGATACACAATAGAACACGGGGGTGTTCAGCCATCGAAATGGTGGATGAAATTGGAGTAACTCCATTGTTCTCTCCGAAATACTTGAAACATATCCTTCTTTTTTCGAAATTTTCTTAAAGATTGGAGATATAACTGGTACCATGTTTCTGTTTTTGACCCACCAAATGGGGGGGGGGGGGGGGGGGGGGGGGGGGGGGGGGGTGTGGGTGTTGGTTAGCACATTCAAACCAAAAGCACATCAAACTAGAGTAGCTTTACCTCTAAATAAAATAGACACCTCAGTTTATGTCAAAATCGAGCCATGCACTAAAAGATCATCAAAAAGTTCCACAGTTGATCGAAGAATTCTAATTTTGTTCTTGAGATACTAAACACCAACCACCTATCCAATTCCCAACTCCTTTCCTTCACCAAACCAAACATAAAGCTAAATACATGCATAACTTTCGCGAAACTACTTTCCCCACCATAGAACAAACAAGTCGCCAAAATTACAAAACAATTAAAAAAATAACTAATCAGAATCTAGCAACTGGTATCAATTTCAGATAGTCATTGTTTGTAAAGGTGTACAGAAAACAACCAGATCACTGAAATTACACAAGAATACCCAAACTAATCAGAATCCAGCTACCATAATCAATTTGAATTTCAGATAATCATCATTTGTGAACCATACCGAACATCCTAAGAATTTCTCAACTAAGTTTCCATAATGCCAATAGTAAAAAGGTTTCATTATGCTTCAACCATGAACAATTCTAACAATGCCAACAATCACTGTCCCACTCCACACCAAAAATCTACCTATAACACTGAAATAGCAGCATCAGTAAATATATATCGATGTTCATTCATTCACACACATCATTGAAACAAAAACCCAATCTATCATCAAAGGGGTTTAACCCCCCACACACACATATGAGCTTGAACCCAGGTCACATACACACAAACAGATATGTGAGTATTGGAGCTTGGACCCAGGTTAAAGTTGTTGAGCACTTACAGAGGATGTAGACTGTTGTGGGGTAGCATCAACTGCACCACCGCCATCACTGCAGACCCTTGTGAGGACGGTACGGGCAGAGCAGAATTTGGGGTTGAGTCCATGATGATGATGACGACGACGGCGATGACGATGGTGGTGGTTCAGAGAGTAGGAAGCAGAGGGTCTGGTATTGGTTCTTAATACGTGTACTGATGAAACCTCCAAATGGGTTTCCAAATTTAGGGGTTGGAGATTGGGAAGCGAGTTAAACTTGAAGTGGGTTGGGATTGTCAAGGACATCGTATATTGATTGGCCTTGGAAAAAAGATTAGAATTTGAATGATAATAGCAGAGTTCTGGGTTTTCTTCTGTGGTTTTCGGTGATTGGGTTTGGGTTGTTTTTCCTCTGAGATGAGAAAATAAATATTTGGTTTTTTTTTTTTTTTTTTTTTTTTTTTTAAGAGTACCCTCTTGTCAATGTTTGATAAGAATCCGACAGAGTTCTGGAATCTGGAACAGGATTACAATATGAGAGAGAGAAATGATGGAGTCTATGACCAAAATATCAAAGATTGATGCACCAGGTGACTTACGAGTACCAAACAATGTAGGACGGACACGAATACAAATATAGAGACAATACGATAAAAATACGTTGACAGGCAAAGTTAAAAAAAATAAAATATTAATACGATCGGACACGACTATAAATATAATTTTTATCTTTATACTTTTAAAACTTTAATTCATTTATAATTTTTATATTAAAAATTGTTATGAAATTAATTAGAAAATAAAATTATGTAATTATTATAATAATTTTTATATTATATATATCATTATTTTACTACTTGTATTAGAAATGTCCAATAAGTATTGAGTAAAGTGTTCATAAAATATCGGTAAAATGTCCAGAATAATAAAATTAATTTTTATTTATAGATAAAGTGTCAGACACGTAATGTCCGATACAAATACGACTAACTCCTTCTTAGAAATGTATGTGCTTCCTAAGTACCCAATGAAACAAAGTTTTTATTTATTTTTATCATTATGTCCAATAATATTAATTTAAAACTTGTGTAATTTAGGATATTATTTAATTTTAAAAAAAAATTTCGTGCTTCCTAAGTACCCCAAATGAAACAAAGTTTTTATTTATTTTTATCATTATGTCCAAAAATATTAATTTAAAACTTGTGTAATTTAGTATATTATTTTTTTTAAAAAAAATTTCTTCCCTCATTTTTTAACGAATGAAAATTTGTAAATAAATAATTATGACACATTCCTCCTATCATCCTTTCTTTCTTTATAAAGAAATAATGATGACTATTATCTTTTCTTTCTTTATATCATGTCTATCGAAAAGAAAATTTGTTTATTCTTTTCTATTTTCTTTCCACACTTCTTCCTTCCTTCCTTCCTTCTTACGGAACAATACATACAAAATAATACAATATTATAACACTGTATATTTTTTGTGATATAATAATAAATAAATTAATAATTAGGAGTTTAGAAACTTTAATTTTGTTTTCTTAAATTTTATATATTTTTAATTAAATTGAATATTGTTTTTCAAAAAATAATAATTATAAAATCAACAGCCCGTTTTCTGAAAGTATCCAAAACGTATCCGACCAAAAAATAAAATATTCACTATTCAAAATACTTCTAGTCATATTCGACACGTGTTCGGACTGTATTCGTGTATTCAAAAGGTGTATGAGTATCCGCATATCTGAAAAATGTCCGAATATTTAATATGACTCCGACACTTTCATAGAAATATCCGCACTTCCTACCAAATGGGCCTCTAGATCCTAACCATAAACCCAAAGTGTTGATTTTGTATTTAAATTCACTCCCATCATTCCATCCTTAAATAAAAATATCAATTTTTATTCTCTTATATCTCCTCCACTAACTTAGTTATAACTTATAGGCTTCTTCCTCAACTTTAAGTGTGTTGCAGGTTATTTTGTCAAAGTTCAAAATTTTTGTAGCTGACCCTAAAGAATAATTGTCCAAGGATTACCAAGTTTTAGAAGATGAACACTAGAGTTCTATTGATTGGTTTAAAAGGATGAGTTATGGAGGTTCTGAGTTTAATTATGAGAAAATTTTAAACTTCACTACCTAATTTTGTATATTTTAAAAAATTCTAACTTTTTCAAACTATTAGGTTTGACTGTTAACTTTTTCAAACTAATTACAAAACTATACTAAAACACTATTTACCTTTTTTTATGGTTCAAAATTCCCTTCGAGAAGGTAACTATTGCTATTTGTTTTTCTCACTCTAGTCAGGACCCTTATTATTTAATCTCCTATTCAAAGAGTTTTTACTGGGAGACTGAGAACAAAAGAAAATTGTTATCTGTTGGACAACCGTGTATGAAATGTATTGAGTCACAATTTCAAGAAAAGAATGTTACTCGTTGTTCATGTTGTGTATGCAAACCTGACATTATAGTTGAAAATGTAAAAACCCACTTCCTGAATACTAAACAATTTAAAATAAGGATGAACTTGAAACTATTATTTGCTTGATTTTATTCGAATAAGTCTATCTTAAATTTCAGTTTTTAGAATGTGATGAAATGGTTTGATTATCAAACCGTCCTTTTGTAGGTCACTTATTTCTTATGTTACGATGAAATTGTTTTTCTATATGTTGTGATTGATATTGTGTGAGTTTAGCTGCCCATGTTATTATGAAGAAAATGGATTGATAATGCATTATTTATTTTGTTAAATAACATTTAAGCATGCTAACCAAATACTAGTTAATTCTTGAAATTTTTTTTGGTTGAGTAGCATTACATTACTTTTAGAATTAACTAACCAAATAAAACATTTTCCTTTTTCTTTTAATCAATGACTAGTAAAGTTTTCCATTGTACTTAATCGTGTCGTCCAAGTAATTGAGTTGCTCCTTGTTTTCACGATCCATGTCCAATCTTGCACGTTCCTCCTCCTCTAGCTACTAAGTACTAACCCTAATATTTTTACCATGAAAATAAATAAAATAAACTTTTCCTTTTAGCAAATGGTTGTACTCATTTATTGATTGGTTAACACAATGAACAATTGAACATTCCCACGGACCTACACCCTGCGAACAAACAATCATGGAACGCCATTACATCAACTTGTGAGATAATGATCATAGTGCTAGCCCACACATTCTCTTAGTTCATTTTCTTAACCTCTTGCCTTTGCTGCCTCAAACATAAAATTAGTGGTGGGACTGTGAGATGAGATTGGGTTTAAATGTTAGAGGCACTTGAAAAATTCAAAGAATCTGAAATACAAAGATAGTCTATAACTTTTATATTTAAAACTAGATTAGATTAGATTAGATTAGATTAGATTATTTATAGTACCATCAATCACAAATTCTTCATATGGGATTATATTATTGCTATAAAATTATATTACTCATAGTTTGGTTGATTTCCCCCTCCTCCCCCCTACTTGATACACACCCTTCCTCAAGGAATTATTTTAGTTTGGTCAATTTTTGTTACACCTTTGGACGGTTTAGGCAAGTGAACACAACATTTTATTTTCTTTTAATGTTTATTTGTTAGTATGTTATTGAAATTTAGGATCACCTGTTTAACTTGAAATACTCATGAAGCTCGTGTAATATGATGCGGATGAAACGTGATAGATTTCGTGGGACTTGGGCTTAATGCAAGTTAAGGTGTTAGAACCTTGAGTTTAGCATGGGCTAACTCCTTAACCCACTGCTAACAAGAATATCAAACGGATTACAAAGGGTTCAGTAATCTAAAAGCTTGAATGATCTAATCTTAGTCAAATCCCAAATTGTGAGACATTATATATGGCTAGAACTAGGATGCCAATTTTTTTTTTCTTTTTTTTTTTTTTAAATGAACAAAAAAAATTATATATATATATATATATAATGCTCTTAAAATATCAATGATATGGTATTTTGGAACCGATTAAATAGTGGCACGTAATAATGAACTATAATAGAAGAAATGCATATTGTCACATAACCTTAATAGAAGAAATGCATTTATTTACTTCTCATTTCCTTGATTTCATGTCTCACTAGTCACCAATATACCGAATTTCTTTAAAATTACGACTATTATCTAATTCAATAGACTTAATGTTTTTTCAAATTATGTGACAAAATATCATTAGTTAATGATACGAGTGACATTGCATTGCTCGTACATTAAAGTCTTTCTCAAACTCTGAATGCATGTAATAATTTGCAAATTACATGCATCATTTGAGTTAAAAATAAATAATAAAAAAAAAACTAGCTCATGGCACTAGAATGCCAACTCGTTTTGGTGGCCGAGTGGACCATCAATCTTATAATTTCAGACCATACAATGAGTGGCCTAGCTAGGTTGAATATTATTCCCCCATTTGGCAAAACCAAAGTGAAAACATACTAATATTTTCAATTTATTATTATTATTTATTTTTTTCTTGCCTTCTAAATTTCTCTCTTTCTGTGCCATGTAACTGAAACTCAAAAAGATAAGGAAGCCACACACAGAGCTCTAGAATGAGCTGCTCATTGAGCATCCAAATCCCCAAGGCTCTGCCTCCTCTCTCCCTTATTCAATCAAGATTCTCATCCCTCCCAATTGTTTCTAAACAAAAACAACCCCCAAGTTCAAAGCCAAAAAAGGTATGCATAATATGTATTTTTCTGTACACAGACATATATATATATATATATATATATATATATATATATATATATATATTATCTTCATTTTTATCATGAATTTCACAAAGCTTATTCTTCAATCACAGACACTTGCAGGCAATAGTAGAAAGCCTATCGACTCCTTTCCTCCCCAAAAAACCAGTCTTGCAGTACAAGTTGGAGCACTTTTGGCCACTGTAAGGCAGTGTTGTTAGTTTTTTTTTTTTTTTTTTAAACATATTTCTCTCATTTTTTCTTGAGATTAAACAAAATTGTATGAGAATTATTTAACAGGTAGCTCAGCCGGCTTTCGCGGTCACCGGAGTAAATCACGAAGAGGATTTCATATGGGTTTTGATTCAACTGGGCATTGCAGCCTTTTGGTACTTCCTGATCATGCCGGTGAGTGAAAATCTGCTAATTTTAGTAACCCCCTTTTTTTTCTTTTTTTTTAGTTGGTTGTCTCAAATGGTTAGGATAAGACTTTATTGAATTGACTATTTTTTTATTTTTAGAATATGAAAATTTATGTGAATGGACACTTTTGGTTTGATTGCAGCCTATTATTATGAACTGGCTTAGGATCAGATGGTACAGGAGGAATCTGTTAGAGATGTATTTGCAGTTCATGTTTGTGTTCATGTTCTTTCCCGGGTAAGTGCTTCTTCTTTTACTTAGCTTCATGTCAAACAATGTTACTCCACCAGTTTTGGCCTAACGATAAATCAGAGCCGGCCCCTAAAATTTTGAGTGATCCTAAACGAACTTTCAAATGTGAGGGTCTTGAAAGTTTGAGGCTCTTCCAAACTGGATTTGAGGTCCTTCCAAATTGGAACCCTAAGCAATTGATTGGGCCGCCTATGTCGAGGACCTATGACAAATTAAGGTTTAGTTGAATTGCTATTATTGAGTAATGATGATACAGAGTCCGAGAGTCGGACACATCCGGCTAAAGTTATGTGAGTGAGAAATGACGTCATCATGACATTATCATATTTTATGTCATCATGATGACGTCATTCTCAATAAGATAAATAATTGGATACATTCAACTTTCGGTATTTTCATTTTTCAAATACCATTCCATTAGAAGAAAATATGACAGAACAATAAATACTAAATAGCCTTTGTTTTAGGGGTTCTAAGAAACTGGTTTTGTTACATGAAGAACCCAAAAGGCTTAGCCTTTGTCAAATGTGTTTGGTTCAAGGATCTCCTTTGGGGGAATTCTAGGTGGGAATTGCAGTTGCTTTCTTTAAATCCCTTCTTTTGATGGAATTAGAAAGTGGTTCCTATAAATTCTTCTATTTTTATTTTTTGTCGATGATGACATATAATAGTGTCGGATCTTTCTTACGTTAAAATTAAAATGCTTCAATTAATAAAAAGAAAAATAAAAATAAAAAGCGAAATTATTCAGATCTAAGAATTTGGATTTAAGTTCCAAAATTTAAAGGTACAAATTTGTTGGGATGATGTAGCGGCATAATTTTAAAATTAGACAAGTTCTGGCAAAATTTCAGAAAATTTTGCTTAATTATCAAAAAGAATTTAGAGAATTTCAGACTCAGGTTGCAAAAACCTCACTTGCAAGTTCATAATTTATCCAATTTTGGAAGGGAAAAAAAAAATAGAATGTGGAGTAAAAAGAACGATTTCAACTTTGATTAATTCAACAAAAAGTTGAGGTGAGGCCTTAATTTAGTTTGTTCTTTCTAAAAATTAATGGTTGGTTGTATTATTGAACCAATGACTGAAGATAGTAGCAGGTTCTAGTGGTAGTCTATTCAATGTCATCATATCAGAAACTTGGACCCAAATACCCTTGTAAACACGCATATATAAATACTAACATGCATATATAATTAGGATTGTCAATAAACAAAAACTATTCATGAACAACTAAGGTTCATCACGTTTAAAGTTCAGGTCGAGCTCATTTATGAAGTAAACTTGCTGAGGGTGAAATTCAATTTTTGAGCTCGTTCAGTGAAGGAGTCGATTCAAAACATCATTATTAAGCTCAGCCATGTAGGGGACTCATGAACACTAAGCTTGTGTGAGCTTGCATGTGCAAACAATCATGTTCATAAAATCTGGTTTTGTGTAGCTACATGTTCAAGAATGAGTCAAAGCATTCTTGAACACTGAGTTCAAGTCGAGTCCAATTGAATTATGATATTGAAGGAACCGAACTTGAGCTTTTCAAAATAATGACGAATCAAACACACTCAATTTTTCGAGCTCGTCACGATTGAAACACTACTCATTTGCAGCTTTTTCAATATATTTCTTTGGAATCATACCGATGATATAATAATCTTTATATTGTATAATAATACTTTCGTTTATATTTTTGGTTAAAGTTTATGGATTAACATATAATTTTGTGTTGTGCAGAGTGCTTCTTTGGGCTCCATTTCTGAACTTCAGGAGATTCCCTCGAGATCCAAACATGGAGTATCCTTGGTCTACACCTCAAGATCCTTCCCAAATTAAAACTACATACCTCAAATATCCCTGGGGCAAAATTGAAGATTATGAATAATCTCATCACTTTCTTCATCGCCGAATTCCAAACACATGCTCATCCCTTGGGACTTCAGAAACCCTACCTTCTATGTATCATAAACTAACTCCATACATACATATTTATTTAGGCTTCTTTTGTTAGGATTTAAAATTCTAGTCTAAACAAATGCAGCCTTAATTTTTTTCTTTCTTTCTTTCTTTCTTCACATGTAATTCCTTGCAAAAGACAATGTACCATATTAATGTTACAAAATGAAGAAGTTGACCTTGAAGGCATAAACTAAGGGTCGTAAACCAATGGCACCTCCTCGGTTTTCAAAGGACAAGGTTAGGGTTCACATCCCCAAATGGCTCGTGACTTTCTTGCCAGGATATATATATATATATATATATATATATATATATATATCTTAAAAGAAAAACACAAGCGCACACACTACATCAAACAGTCTCTTTGCAGCCCATATCTACAATACTCTGTGCGATCAACATAGCAGAAGTAGTTCCCATTCAAGCATATCATAAGAAATGCATATTCATTCATTACCATAACACAATGAAACAAGAAATAAATACCAAAAAAAAAAAAAATCAAATCTAAAAATTGTAAGCAATAGAACTATGTCTTCAAAATCTTTCCCTGATTCAGCCACATTAATTGCACAATACACGTGTACCATATTTCATCCCTATATAAAACCATTTTGCTGGTATTAAAAGATGTTAAGAGGTGAATAACAAAGAAAAGAGGTCTACATTTAAGGCAAAAACGGAACACGTAAATCAAATCGGTGCTGAACAAACTGGTACCGATATGATCGTCTCAGACAGTAGTAGTGGCTTCCAACTATTTCTAGTTTCAGTATTACGATGGGGTTCATAAAATTGTACAAGAGAAACCTCGTTCCGCCACTTTATTATGGAGCAAACTTGATTACCTTTGCCCATGCTCAATGTCGTCAAAAAGCAAATCCCTGTGTCCATTATTGGTTACTTGTATGCTTCTCTAATACGTTTTGGCTTAGAAGGATTGCCGGGCGCTAAACATTACCGACAATTTGTTCCAATCCCACGACTCTACGCTCGGTGACATAATAGCAACGCCTACACCCACTGCAATGATGACAAAGGCCAAACCTTTCATGCACCCATGCCCACGCGATAGCCTTCCCAAGATCGCCTTACAGTACTTGTCTGCGTCCTTAAAAAGCGCTTGATCGGTAGCATCCTCTTCATCAGCCAATGCTCTCTGATTCTGTTCACACACCAGAATAAATAAATAATAATAATAAATAATTAAATATATATATATATATATATATATAATTTAATACGCACGACATTTCTAGTATGCAATCATGACGATGAGTCACCGGTCATTTCAAAAAAAATCTATATTACACCACATGCAGGCACGGACCTATTAAGGACTCAGTGGGGGCAGCTGCCCCCACTAAATTTTATTTATTTACAAAATTACTTATAAATTTTGTGAAATTTTTAAAAAGGTCCCTACATTTTTGTGAAAATATTAAAAATGCCCCGATTCAATTTCTAATGATACCCCACTGTATATTATTGTTGTTGTTCAAAGTCGCCACATCTCATACAATTCTCTACTCCGTCACTTACCACATGCACATGCATCAAATTGTGGATTGTGTAAAACAACGAAAAACAGATATATATATATATATATATATAAATTAATTAATTAATAAACACAGACTACCTTTTGCCTAAAACTTCCAAGAGTTTCCCCCAGGGTTTCAAGAGAGGACAGTTTTCCGGAGAGCTCCTTCCACTCCTCGGTAAGCTTTCTCAAAATTGCAACACTTACTTCTATATGATCCATATAAATCTTGTCCTGTTCGCATCAAATTTTGTGGCAAAAGATTGAATTCATTATGGTTAACTCTCAACAGAAGTAAAAGGAAAACCTCATGTGAAATGAATGCAAAAACACGGGTAACAAAAGCAGCACTCACCCACTGCTTGTAGCAATCAGAGTGTTGGGTCAAGCACCATATAAAAATGCTAGTAGCTTCCTTCGATAGTTCAGGGACGCCTGCAAAACGTGTGGCATTTCAAAACTGAACTTTTTGATAAAGTTTTAAAACTACATTATTGGAAAACAAACTGCAGAAATGACATGGCAGCCATTTCAAGTTCAACATTACCTTCTTCAGCTGCTTTCACAGCACAAGTCATTATCTGCTGTGAAACTTGCTTCATGCCTTTGCTTCCAGGGGCACCAGCAAGAGCCACCTCTTTGAGGGTGGGATATATGGCCTCAAACCTTTCAGTTGCCTGCATAAAATGCCACACTCAAAGAATTAAGTGGAATCACTTATTATGTCATATTAGGAACAGGAACTGCAATTAGCGAAAGCATAAATACCGACCCAAAAAAGAAAAACAGTAGAATGAATAAATAGTAAAGATTATGAACACTGTTAGTGCTCCCAATAATCCCCACCTTGACTCGAGCTGAAGATGCAGGGAAGGTTACTCGCAAGAGCATGTCAAGTGCCGAAGGTGGTATCACGCGCTCCCCCTTTCTAACAGCACCATTTACTAAAATAGTACGAGCTTTTGGGGCAGAGAGTATTCTGCAACGAAAGAAATCAAATTTGATATTTGTAGAAGATTAAAAACCAAAACAAAAATAGTACTGGGTATCTGGAAGAAGAAGAAGTCAAACCTTTCCACTAACTGCAAAACCAAATCCCTAGACTGCGGGTTAGAACTTGATTTGCCCCCAAGTAAAGGCAAAAGGTAATGTGCCCATGACAACAACCCTACAGTCAAATCTCCTTGAGAGGCCTACACATTAAGTTTTAAATTTCTCGCATAAATGCTATGTTATAGGGGATTAAAAACATGCACTGATCTCTTTACAGAAAAACAAACAAACAAACAAAATAAATGATATATATATATATATATATAAGGTTATCTTCGAACTTCAAAGCATCCTCAAGTAAAAGTGGGTTATTGTTATTCACTCACCTGAGCTATCATCCATACAGTAACTGAAAGTTTATCATGTCCTTGATACTTAGAAGTTTCCTTCAACGTTGGCAATAAATTAACTAGAACATCAGGTTTCCGTCGCAATACCATTGCTAAAACTAAAAATATAGCAACCTGCCATTTCAACAATATGTAAAAAGTACATCAGTCCACAATGAAGTAAAATACTTTACACTTACAAATCAATATGTGACAAAAGAGAGCTTCCAGAGAAGAAAAAACTAGAAATAAATAATGTCAATTCCCAGTTATGAGAATTGAATATTATGGAAGGTGAAATTTATCCAATCACGTTATTGGCAAAAAAAAAATAAAGGCTTAAAACTTTAACATCTAACATTGAAATCACTTTGGCATTCATATAGCTCTTACAGGTCGATGACCTTGGTAACCTAACCACGCGCTTCAAGGAACTGTTTGCACCCAAGAGGATTCAAACCTTAGACCTGATGCTTCCTGAAGCACCAGGGCCAAGTTCTTATCCCACTTGAGCCAACCCCTTGGGGATTCTGCTAGTGGTGGATTCTCCTCAATGTACCATGTTTGAAGGTCTTTTTTCTAAGTGTAAAATCCACTTCACTCCATGGATTTGGCTCTTAAATCATATATATTAAATAAGATTGCAGGCTCTCAGGATTGTATGTAGAAGATATCTACACCGTGTAAAAAGTAATTCTAAGAAAATTACTAGCACATTTTTTTTAATCCAAGAAAATGCCCTCCGGTTTATATGTTCAAATGAATTTGCATCGCTTATAATATACCATGTTTGGAAGTTTTTTGACTAAGAAAAAGATCCACTTCACTCCGTGCATTTGGCCTCTTAAATTATAGATTACATTGAAATTAAGGCTCTCAGAGTAGTATGTAGGAGATATCTATACCACATAGAAGGAAATGCTTTTTAAGGTAGTTTCTCATACAATTCTTTTTAATCCCAGAAATATACTTATGTTTACATGTTTATAATCGCACCTGTTTGCACAAATTTGGAAACTAATTAATTCTCCTCTAAAATCCGTAAACTTGAAATGATGATTGACCTAAAAAACTTCTTTCATATTTTGGACCTTAGCTCCATGAAAAAACAAGGAAGAATTGAAACCTTAGATCAAACCACTATGGATGGATGGTATGAACTGCCTAAACAAGAATTCTTGAACACTGAACAACCAGTTCAGATATTCACGCCCCTGACTTATCTTTCGAATAGACACCTAAAGGAGAAAGAAGGCAGGAACAAGGTCTATTATTGAATTTACCTGACCCGATGGAATGGGTAAGTCGCCAATTTCTAAAATGGACTATGTAATGTATTTTATGATGGGTTATGAGAGGCATTTTGCAGTTTCTAATTTACCCTTGTGTGATTCCTGTTGAAGCACTCGGAAATAATATTCCAAAGCTTTCATGTCTTCTCCAGGGGCGTGACACACACTAAAGGAACACCTATTGCTACACTCAAACACCACACTTTTTTATACTTAAAGAAATTGCATAACCAACTCCTATTTAAAATCTTACCACCCTTAAACCCAAAATTCAAGTAAAGAAGGAAGAAAAGGCCATATGTTCACACAAAACAAAACAAAAATAAATAAATAAATAAAGATAAAACCACAAGGAAGAGAATAATCTAAAATAGGACAGTGATATAGGGGGACCTAGGAAAAGACTGTTGAATGACATTACAAAACAGACATGTCAAATGATATCAAGAATCTATCCATACATCCAAAACGAGCAGAATTCTCTAGCAAACTGGACTGAATAAAAATGCTGTTATCTGGAAATATATCTTTGAGGGTGCATAGTGTAATTAGATGATTAAGAGTTTGTTCTGATTAAGTGAGTTAAAAAGAAACAAAAGGAAAGCTAAAAACAAAAAGGAGGGGTGGCTTATCACACGTTTGACTTAACATGAGAAGGGAAAGGAGGACAAGGAAGGGAATTGTCAACCCCATATATGGCATTATTACTATCCTTCTATAGGAACAATTGAATTCCTATTTTCTGATTTCTAATCATGTTCCCTTTTCACTCTCCATTATCTTTTCCACATAAGATTGAAGGTCACTATCTTTTCTTTCTTTCTTCCTATTCTTTTTCCTAGACATAAAGTTAAGACTATCCTTTCTTCTCTTTTCTTTCATAAATTAGTAAGATGGGCAACAGATTGATGGTATTAGCTTTGAAGAACGACAATTAATAAATATATTAACATGTCAAGTAATGGAAAATTAATTTTCGTTCACATTAACCACCTTTTCACAATGTTTCTGAAACTTTCACATTCAACATTGGCTAGAGATGAAGCATAAGGAAAGTCCCAAGGGTACAAGGTGAGACATTACACATCTTAAGCATGTAACTGAAGGTGTAAAGCAATCATAATTCAAAATTTTATGCCTTCTCATACCTCATGTCTGTAATTGTCTGTAATCTGAGGCATACATGTTAACCAAACATAAGCACGTTATTACTGTTTCTTAATGGGATATATATTTTTTGATGAGTAAAATTCTTTAAGAAATGCTCAAAAAGGAGAGCACACCCGTGGAACTACACACACAAAAAAAGAGGAAACACTACCCAATCATGCTATCCAAAAAAATCTACTAATCCTCCACAGATGTACAAAGATGCCCCCCCCCCCCAAAAAAAAAAAAAAAACAAGCACACACAAACCACACCAGCCGCGCGCACAAAAAAAAAAAAAATCAAAGATAGTATTTCAACACCATCAAAGGATATCCTATTTATCTCCCTCCACAAACCCCATCAAATACATAACGGACCAGCCCCCCAAGCATATCGAACTAACCTACCCACTATGCATCCCCTCTAAGAAGTAAGACCCAAGAGCTTCCATGGCAGTAGCGGTTAACACACACTGAATCCCGAAATTAACAAGAACATAGACCAAACATTTCTCGCTAGTGGGCAGTGCAATAAGAGATGGCTCACTAACTCCCCATCCCTCTTGCACATACAAGACCAATTAACTACTATCTGTCGTCACTTCCTCAAATTTTCCATGGTCAAGATCCTCCGACACCGGCTGTCCACCCAAAAAATGACACCTTGAGAGAGGCTTTCATTCACCCAAAAATGCCACAATTATTTGACATTTTCCATACGTATAAACACATGCGTTGATCAGAAGATGATAATGCACCATGAAATGTGAGGTAACCCCTTGGAATACCCATAAACTTCCGCAGCCTTATGAAGCCAGATTGCAATTCGAAGTCCATAGCAAAACGTAGAGACTTCACTCAAGCCAGCTGACACATTCTACCAATAAAAATATGTTTATGTCTAGATCCATAGTTACATAAATTCTATTCACCTCTAAAAAGCCTTTGTCTGGGGGAGGATAGTAAAGCATCTAATTGAGAAACAAGGTAAATCCCATGTCAATACAGGGTATACAAGACCTCCAAAACAAGGTTCAATAATAGATCATCAATTTGCTATCCATGAGGTAGACTACACAAGCAAAAATTTACTGAGAGCTAAATGATAGAGAGCACTTTCCTCAAAGCTCCGAAATTTTGCTTGAACAAAGTGAACAGGGAGGGGACTATTTGGAGCTCAGTGGGGACAGGTTCCCCTACTCAGTTTTCTTTATACATTAAATTAGTGTATATGATCTTTGATTATTGTAAAATTGCCCCTCCCAATTATTTATTTATTTATTTATATATATATTACAATCACACACTCACTTTGTCCTTTAAAGACTTGAAGTCTTGAACCCTTAACCTCTCTCTATTTAGAAAGTAGAGAAGATACCTCTCAAATAAATGTTTGGTGATTAAATACCCCCCTCAAAATTCTCAAAAAAATCCTTTATTATATAAAATATTTAGTTCTTTTTCTTCGGTTCTCTCTCCCTCTCCCTCTATATCTTCTCTCCCAACTCAAAGAGATCCTTTTCTATTGGCGATCTCTCTCTCTCTCTCACACACACACAGGAGAGTTCCAAAAACCCTCTTTTGACTGATTCCTCAACCCTGAGCCGGAACAGAAAAAAACTAATTCCTTTTTTCCAAGTAATCTTGTTCTTTTCTACAAAATAATTTCGTTTTGGAAAGGAAAAAAATGAAAAAGAAATACTATTAGAGTACAGCTAACAACAATGGATTGACAATTTTGTGAATTGGTTGTTCAAAAGCATAATTAATTGATTGACTGAAATTTCCTCCACTAGAGTAAATAACAAATTCCTATAACTCCGGTCACTGGAAGTGAACCACTAGGTGTTCACACACATAAATGCCAATTAAAACAAGGATGAGGAAACATAAAGTTATGAGCTAAATTGGCAGACAACTCCATTTCAATAAATTAAAAGTGTGCATATGATCAAGTTCTTCAGCTTTATGCTGTTACTATATACACACACACATATATATATATATTAACATTTGTTAACAGTACCAAAACTTTACACAGCTGAATTATTAGACCTCAAATTATGAGGTAAGTTAGTGAGTTCAAATTAAAATTAAATCAAAACCATCTGGAAATGAAAATGTTCAGTATTCAATGAAAACATCAAGTATTGTCTGAATTAAAATCCACTCCCTTCTCAAGTGGATTTAAGTTTTTAGTGGCTAATAATGAGTTAACAAAAGCATCCAATAGAGAAACCACTAACATTTTTTATTTTTATTTTTACTTTTAATACTTAACAGGGTCATCAAACAGCATCCTCGAGCATACTCTATTCCAAAAGGCACGTATAACAGTAACAGAGCCTACTCTATGTAGAACTTACTTTTGTAGAAATATTTACTCCTGAAATCAAATCCCACTCCCACATAACCCTAAAACTCTCTCTATAAATAACTTAACAATAAGACATAAAATACTTTTCCCATCACCCACAATGCTAGTTGTCCTAAAACACTATGTTCCGCAGTAAAATGTAATATATGTGCATGCATTAATAATAAAAATGAATTAAATATAAAAATATATATATATTATAGGCATCATCCCTCAAACATGGTACATGGAAAGAGAGGTATGGGGAGTATCGTTACCAGAGATTTTGAGGATGTCTGTTGCACACCCTTTTTGGAGCCCTTAATACCCACTTGTTGGCTTGCCAAGTCAGCAAGAATGCTGTCCAACGACCATGATACAAAGGAGCCAAGTGCCTCAGAGGATCGTTGATTGATCCAGTCAACTGATGTCTTATAAACATCATCAGATATATAAGAGACAGGAATCTGCCAGTAGCAAATGAACTAGTTATACTCTAAAAAAGGATACAAAGACTAGAAAAGAAAAAGAAAAAAAAAACCGAAAAAAACATCGGAGTGCATGAAATCAATGGCTAATAATGTTCTTCAATTTTATATTGATATTCATCACAAACATTTAAAAATGAAAAGCAACATGCTACAAGAGAGGTCAAAAATAAATAGAAGATATGTATGAACTGGTTAAATATCAATAATTAAATAGAAGATATGTATGAACTGGTTAAATATCAATAATTACCAACATTATCAATTAGGGGGGCCACTACCTGGTGAAAAAGTAAAAGCTCGAGTTAAACAAGCATGAGCAAGGACATGAATTCAAGTTCTAGAGTAGCCACTTTGTGCAAAAGATTCTCAATCGTTAGGTCTATCTCCTCTCTTCCCTTTTTCAAAACCCTTGTAGATGGGGCCAACATCGGGCAATGGTCTTCACCAAAATTATGAAATATAAAAAATTCCATCATTCTCAACTATAAAAAATAAAAACATTTTCTGGCGCCAATACAACCAGAAGTGTGAAGATCTTATAAATCTCCTTGTAAACATTAACCTCTTCATTCATTTCGTCGTGACTATGTAGCCTAGTTAGCTTCCACTGGTGACCTTATTAGCTATGGGAAAAAGGAAAAAAAAAAAAAAAAAAAGGCTAGCCCAGTGCACGAGGCTCCCGCCACTGCGGAGCTGAGGAGGGTTAGATGCATGCAGCTTGTTAGCTACAACATACGTGATATAATACCTGGACATCCTTTTGGGAAAAAAAATGACATGAAATTTAACAGGACATAAAAAGTACTCTGTTCTGCTAGTCAATTTTAATTCCACAATAATCTTTGCAAAATCAATTTAATTGCCTCAGGTGTTTGTCAATAAACACCTCATTTTGCCCCGCTACTTTTGATAGATAGGGACAAAAGCTAACAAAGCCAAGAAATACGGTTATCAGCCTCAGGCCTACCAAACATTAAGTGGTAGCCAAAACCCATAATTCAAAAGCCACAAACAAGGGAAACACATCCTTCGACACCCTCCATTGTCCACAATAAAGGCAACATTTCTTGACGGTAATTATTGTAAGGGCATATCACTAGATGCATACCAAACTCCACCTAGGCAACTCTCTGGTTGAACCTTCTAAAGCACAGGTGCAAGTGCCCCAATCATGCACTCTAACCACAATGAAAGAGAACGCATCAGTTTTAGAACTCTGGCAAAACAGACAATATATCTACGCTGCATGATATATATATATATTAGGTGTGTGTTTTTCTTAATTATGTATTTATTTTGCTTGTAAATATGATTTGTGGAGTAAACTTGGTACATTCTCCATTTCGAAAGTCTATATTATTAGAGGAGGGTCAAGATTAGCTCAAATATATCAAGAATAACCCAGAAAATAAAAAATAAAAATAAATAAACTTAAGAAAAATTTTCTTTTAAAACATATCTGTTTTCAATTTTCTCAAAAGGCATCCTTTAAAATTCCTTTCTACAAACTTCCATGATTCTCTAAAACTTAATTTCTTTGATTTTCTAACAAGGATTTTTCATGCTATTATTTCTCCATGGGTGTCAGTGTCATGTTAAGAGAGGGTAGAACAAGCATCTAAAATCTTCAATTTATATGCCACAACAAAAAGAGATGCCAGAGTCTCTAAACCATTAATCCATGTGTTCTTCCAGAAAACAATTATCTACTTGGTAGTCAGATGATGACATTGATTATGTTCAAGAAAATCCAGAAAAAGGACCATGTTAGCCAGATTTCAAGAAATGTTCCTACTTGTTTATGTTATAATCTTAGTTGCGAAATAATTGATATGTGAGAGACACCTAGAGTACATTATCATGACATCTTTTTATCTAGTTAAGCTTGTTTTACTTGTTTATGTCATAATCTTAGTTGCGAAATTATTGATATGCGAGAGACACCTAGGGTACATTATCAGGACATCTTTTGTCTATTTAAGCTTGTTTTATTTCCATCTTCCCAGACCATTTACTCTCTCTCTACACCATGAATAATTTAGTATTATGGACACAATTCTACAAATCTTGCTTTGACAGAATTACAGAGGGATCTTTAAATGTATGTGGCAACCCCTTTTTTTTTTATTTTTTTTTTTTTTTATAAGTAACCGTTTTATAGTTTTCATAGGGTGCCTAACACCTTCCTCACACACACCAGCCCCCGGACCGTAAATCTTTGATTGAGTAGACCAAATGGGATAACTAAACGCATCTTAACTCAATATCAGTGGTGACTCTATTTAATTTATAAAGCCATTTTCCTAACAATTCCAATTTGTCGCATTCAGCCTCTCTCAGTCACACTTTTCTTAACAAAATATATAAATAAAAATAATAATAATAATCATAATAAGTCAAGAGATGAATCTTGGTGCGTCACAAGTCTTACCACTCCATAATATAAAGAGAAAAAGAATCTATATATTCATATTCCGAAATCCAAAGAAATTTAATCCTTTGATATACTTTACAATTTCTTAATTTTTAAAAGGAGTTGAATGTTGTTAAAACAGATAAAAATTTAAATATCTTACTACAGTTATGAAACCATCAATTAAACTTGATATACTATGACAATCAGAATGATCATATTGCTATTGATGCATGATTACATGATCTTGCACTTTTTTTTTTTTTGATAAGTACATGATCTTGCACATATACCCCTTGATTTATCAAAGTAGAACAGATCAATATTAATTCATCATAGATTTCACAAAATCCTACAACAATGAAAACAACAAAATAAAAAAAATTTAAAAAAATATCACAAAATCCTAAAATCCGTCCTCTACACAAATGACAATTAGACTCGGCTTCATTGTCATGAAAGAGAGAAAGAATATATATTATAAAAGCGTGATAAACAGATTTTCCTATTTGATCCAAGGGAAGGTGAAACATCCACTTTAAGTTCTGAGCTGATGGAGAATCTAGAGGGAAGTTGGAAATTTTCAAAAGGAATATTCTCGGAGAAAAATAGATAAATTTTCACCATTTTCCTACTATCTGGAGCAACTTTGGAATTAATAAAAAGATTATTGATGTTCAAAAATCATTTATCTGTTATATAACAAAAGCTAAGGAGTCTAAATTGAGTAATATAAAATTGATTTACAAAAACATAATAAGAAGTCAAATAGCAATGAGTTCATATTGACCTATGAGAGGTGAACCTGAAACCTGATCTCCATGACCACTTGACCTGAACGACAAACCTAATTATATATATTCCAACTTTCTTCAATCGGGATTCGGGATGATAAATTTTCAATCATACAAGTAAACACAATTGTGTACAATACTTATAAGTACTTTCTACGTCGATTTTTTCACTAGCTTTGATCTGATTCTCAATACAAGTATGCATTATAATACTTATAAGTACTTCCGAAGATGATGGTCATTTCACTTGATTTGAATTAATTCTCAATCCCATCAACAGAAGAACTTAAAATCAGGTGTAATTTGAATTTATTTTTTTTCACTAGGTAATCAGCATCATTTTTGCAACATCATAAAAGGCTATAAATCATCAATCTCCTTGGGTTTCTTTTAACATATAGATGACATGTATGCATACTCCATCCACTACCAATGTTGCAGCCATTTGAATTCCACTAACACGAATCATTTCCACACAAAAACATGAAAAGGAAAACGATAAAGATGATAGCCTTTTACTTATAAATAAAAACAAAAAATAAAACTTAAAGATGATAGCTTTCAGAGCAGCAGAGGTACAAATCTCACATTGGCGATCTTATATACCGTAGACTCCCTGAACATTTTCGTCCACGGAAACTGAGATGCACTCACTGCCGAAAATGCACGACCAAAATAGTCCGCGAATCGCATCAGTTGTATATCCTGTTGTGATTCATAAGATGCCTACAAAAAATTTGATCTTTTCAATTAAGAACTCAATCAATCAACCTAATATCATCTGAAACCAACAGACCAAGCCAAATCATACCAAAGACGACAAAAATTCTCATGAATTAAGAAACTCACTGATACATCGACAAGGAAAGCCGACAGATCAGCCGCATCTATCTTCGCAGCGGCTTCGGCAATACTGACTTTCGGTTTCTTTGGCTTCTTCGGCTTCTTCGGCTTCTCCTCCGCTTTCCCGTTCTCGACAACACCGCCAGCCAATTCAGCATCGCTATCGTCCTCTTCGTCATCGGATCGAATCTTCGATCTAATCGGTGCCTCATATGAGGCAGAAGCCGCTGCTCTCTGAGATTCTATACGGCGGCGACGCTCCTCCGACTGCTTCTCGAGTGACCGGAAAACCTTGTCACCGCCGGCTGCGGCGGATCCGTTGGGAAAGATATTGCCGGCATCTGACGGCTTCGCCGCACCTTTTCTCTGCCGCTTGGTGTATGTGACCTTTTGCCACCCGTGATTGTTGCTGGCATTTGCGATCTCGGTCGCTTCATCGTGGTTCGATTCGAAGGACTTATCTTCCATTGTTCTGCTTTTCTTCTCTTTCTAGAGAGAGAAATTGAAGACAGAACAGAGGGATCCCTTTGTAGAGAGAGAGAGAGGGGAAGAAAATGAACTATTTAGAGAGAGAAGGAGAGATCGGAACGGAGGGAGAGGGAAAGGGTACTTTTGGTCGGAGAGAAGGGTATATAAATGGGTTGACAGTGTAAATTTGACCTCTGTTCTTGCACGAAATTGCAGGAAAGCCAATGAAAATTGGAATTGAGCGTTATTATCGAGGTGGTGAAGCTTAAAATGCTGTTTGGCAGAGAGGAAATGGAAGGAAGAAAGAGGGAAAGAAAAAGTGGAAAAAATTATTTCATCCTCCGAATGGGATAAAATGGCGATGGTAATCTAGACTAGTTTGATTAAATTTTGAAATTCAAAAATAATTTATTCTCAGTTTCGTAAAATAATATTAAAAGAGAAAAAAAGCAAAACAAAAAAACAAGTTTTCATACTTGGCATAAGAAATAATGTAAGCTAAAAACCATAAGGGTTCTATTGGTTAGAAAAGGTAAAGTTACATAAAATTAAAATTATTTTCCAATGAAAGCATCGTCATTTTATTTAGTGTTTCTATTTTACCCAACAACTTTATCATTGATAAAGTTTTAATTAATTTAACTTTCATTCATAATTATTTTTCATCATATATGAATAATAATAGTTCGAAAGGTCTAAATTAATTTAAAACTCTATCATTTTTTTAATATATTATATTACTAATTCTTTATTATTTTATTATTATTATTAAAAAAACGATAATTTAAATATCCAAACTATAATATGATATTTTTTTACAATTTTTTACAATAAATTTTAATCATAACCAAATACATACTATAAAATCAATTTTCTTTTCATTTTTCATTTTCATTTCTTTTTTTTATTTTCCATTTCTTTTATTTTCTCTCTATTTCCATCTAACCAAACCGGAGCCTAAGAAAATTATAATTTTAACTTTACTTTGGAAAGAAAAGGAAAATTATATTGACAATTGTCTATCTTAGGAAAAGAAATAAAATAAAAATTAAAGAAATAATGTTTCATCAAGTAACTAGAAAGGTTTACAAAGAAAATTGCCTCCGTCACTGTAAAGTGTTTAACAAGCTTCTTTAAATACTGTCGCAAACACAGCATATGAGTACGATATACACAAATCAAAGATAATATTAATATAATATAAATTATTAGATATGTAAATAATAATTTTATTGCCATTTTATCCATAAAATCATTAATAAAATTACTAATTTGGATCTTAAATCTGGATGTTTGTTAATTTTATTTTCTTAAGTTTATATTATTTTTTTAATTAATCCGTAGTATATTTTAGGATAAATTGCACTGACATCCTTAATGTTTCGGTCAATACCACTCAATGCGGATCAACAATTTTTTAGACGGTGACAGTCCTAAAGTTTCAAATTATTTAATTTGATTAATTGACGAAAATACCATCCATTATATAGCCTTGAAAATTGCACCAACCAGGATAATAGGTTAGTTCAGCTTTTCGATATAAACCAAGGATACCACATACCTTCAATCAAATTTTACCATTATTCTTAACTAATGCTGATAATTTTTGTTTAAATGGGTATACTTTTACAAGTTAAATGATTCTTACTGTGCTTATAAAATTCCAATATTGATGCTCATATTTAAGTATGATTGTACCAACACATGAATATGAGCATGATTTTACAAACGCGTGTATCTTTATTACAGGTCTTTGTGATCAAGTAATATTTTTTTTACATCCTAAAATGGATGGTAAAAATTCAAGACGTGTCCCAAAGGAACGTAAAACCCCATTTGAAAAAAAAACAAAAGCCATATCCATTCTAGTTGAACATAGACGTCTAAAAAGGAAAGAAGACATTGTGTGACATTGTTTTATGATTGTTTAAAAATTTAAAATTAAAAATTGTATAACGGATCATTAACACTCACATAGTGAATATATTACAAGAAAGTTAAGCCATCAGCCTATGATAGCCCTACACAATTAATTCCTGGTGCCCGTGCTCGTGCCGGTGTCGCACATTTATGAATGAAAGAAAGAAGAGAGGAAAGAAAAGGTGGGTGGTGGCAGGCTGGCAGCAACATTGTGGGTATCGCTTGAGTTGATAGGTTATTTTGGTGCTTTAAATTTATGCTTCTTATGTGTTTATTGACTAGTCAAGGGGTTAAATGGTCATTTTATTGCGTGAAGGGGGTGTGTTTGCAAATTTTTTTAACCTCAAAAAGTGTCATTGCGTAAAAAATCGTTGATCAACATCTGAGTGACATTAACCGAACTTTAGAAAGTGTCAGTGTAATTTATTTTATATTTTAAATTGTATTAAATATCATTCCTTTAAATAAATAATGAGGGTGTTAATCACGGTCGCCCGGACGACAATGAAATCTCACTACTTTAGCGGCTCACTTTTCCAATAATTAATTATTTATCTAGTCACTTTCTTTTAGGTATGTTGTTCTCTATTTTTACCATACTATCCTCTAACCCTTGCTAAGAAAATAAAAAATCAACCGCCCGGAATCTCTCTCTAAAATTTTCTTTATTTGAAGTTTATATGAATGTTTAAAGTTCAAATATGATTTTTTTTAAGATCTTTTTTCTTTGTATTCAAAGTATAGCTCTGATTTTTTATATCAAATAAAAATTAAAATTCAGATTAAAAATGTATAATCTAGTTTTTCTAGGCGGAGCCAGAAATTAAATTCAAGGGCACAGTATAAAAAAATAAATAAATAAAATCAATAATCACGATAATAAATATAGATTCTATAAATCAAGAGACAAATAAAAAAAATTACTCAAAATAATATGTCAGTAATTTAAGAAAGATAAATAGTTAACACAAAAATTTTAAAAGGAAAGAAAAATGAGATAATTTTGAAAGAGAAAAAATTTGAAGTTTGATTCAAAAAGAAAATTTTGACTTTTTTTAAAGAAAAATAAACTAATTTAAAGAGTAAAAAAAAGAAGAAATGTAAAATTTTAAAAATAATTTTAAAAAATAAAATTTTTAGAGAAACATTATATGAATTTTTTCATATATCAATTTAATATATATATATTATAATAAGTGGGATCAGGGGTACATACCCCTGACATACACTAGCTCCGCCCGGATTTTCCTATATCCCTCCTATTCTCTCTCCTGAACCTTTTCTTTATAGAATAAAATAAAAAAACACAAAACTAGCTTTCTACTTGGATTATGTCCAAGATAGTAACCGTCATAAATAATTGCAAAATTATCTTATCGTATCTTGAAAATATTCAAAAACGTATTATTGTTGCCATCATGTACAACCAAACTCGCTGTGCTCAAAAACACGTGTCCGAATATATGATGTAGCCACGTTACCAAAAGATATGCTGCTACACAAATTTGTAGACAAAAGTCATCCTTTGCACATATATGTAGTGGACAGATGGGAGATGTTAATGCATTGAGTACATTATTGGTTTGGTCATTAATTGTGGTCTTTTAGGGCTTAGATGGTGGACTGAGGAGTGCTATGGACAATGTGGTCCAAGCGAATTGTAGTTGGATTGGATGAGAAACTAGGGTTAGATGAGGTTGGCTTTTGGGTTCGTACTTCCTCATAATCATATCATATGATGACGCCTGACACTCCAGTCCCACTGACTAAACATTTGTCAACTACGGAGTATATTTATTTTTACTATTACAAAGTCAAAATGTAGGTGCCATACTAGGGCCGTTTGTAATAAATAAATAAAAAATTAACTATTTTTATACTCCCTCCTTCTGAAAAAAAAAAAAAAAAAAGAAAAGAAAAAAAAAAAGAAAAAGAAAAGTAAATTTACTATTTTTTTAATATTATTAATTTAACATTCTTGCATTAAATATTTATATTATCACATCACCCCACTAAAAATAAAATTGATAATTCATTCAACACTAATACAATTAAAAAATAATAAAAGAAACTATTCCCTTAAAAGTTTAGATTCTCAAAAAGAAATATTTTTATTAGGACATAAGTAGTAATAAAAAACCTCCCTTAACTAAGATAGGGGGTTACTTTAAAAAATTTTGCCAAAAATATCCCCACCAACCAAATTAAGGGGGAATTTTTACTTAATTTGACCAATTGTGTTAATTTAGCTAAAATGTTTAATTTGTTTTCTTAAATACTAATATTTGAATTTATATTTCCTATTACATGTATCACCATACTTTCAATTAAATAAAAATATTTTAAAAATAAAATTCATAGTTATAAATACGTGCTATATCTTTAGTATATGTATAGCATAATTAAATCATGTAATATTATTTTTTCCCCTTTTTTTTTCCTTCTTTTCTAAACATAGAGAAAATCCCACTATTTTATGCCACACATTATATAAAATCTAAAATATAATATAAATAATATAATAATGCTATAATAATATATAATTTGAGTAAACATATGAGATTCAAACTTATATGTAGTTGCACTCTTAATTATAAATTTTACTTTTAATTTTTTTTTTAAACTATTTCTTAATTAAAAGTACAGTGATGCATGTAAAAAATAAAAGAGTAATGATACTTTGTCTGATCAAATTGGCCTACTCCTAGTCCGAATCCTACGTGTAACTACCACGTAATTAACTAAATTGTTAATATTTTATTTGAGTGCTAAAGATTCCAAAAATAAATATGGAAAGAAGTTTTAACAACTCTTTATCTCTCTGATTTCTCCATTCCTCTTATTCCTATTGCTGCTTACTTGATTCTTTCTCTCGCATCCACTTTGTAGTTTTTTTTTTTTTTTTTCCTACTCAAATCTACAGAAGCCAAAATATATATTGAAATATATATATATATATATATTGAATACATACCTTCAATTTTGTTAGGTTTTGTTTTTTTTTCTTCAAGCAAATATATACGTTTATATGTATTTCCCCCTTTGATTTTATGAACCAATAGAGACTTATCAATGCTTTATTTTTCCTTCAATTTTGCAAAGTAGAAAAGAGAAAACCTTGAGTCAAGAAGAGTAATGGAGAAATCAGATAGATAGAGAAGGGTCGTCAAAACTTCTTCCGTTTCTTTCCATATTTATTTTTAGTATTTTTAGCGAGGCAAATAAAATATGAACTATTTAGGTAATTACGTGGTAGTTACACGTGGGATTCGGACTTGAAGTAAGCCAATTTGATTGAACAAAGTATCATTACTAATATATATATATATATATATATATATATATATATAAATCAAAATATTATTATTTGGCAAAAAAATAAAAAAAAAAATAA